CTGAAATTTATAGAAATTTTTAATTTGCAATGACGAAATTCCTTGAAATTTCCGTATTACCGCAACGCTATAAAAATTCCCAATAACNAGTTTCATACGCCCAAATCACAAATTCCATAAAAAATGGAGCCTGTATCGCAAACATTCGTATGTTAGACCGACGATCATTCGACTAGTCGGAGATCCGTTCGGGGTTTCTCCGCGCTTTTGAAAATTCATTCCTCCGCTCCTATTTGAGATTAAGGAATGAAACCGCGGTCATTTATTGAGAATTTAATTCTCTATCGATAGGCATCGGTTTCATTCATTCATCTTCATTAGGGGGGGGAGAAATGAATTTTCCAATTNTTCACATCGTTCCATTCCATCGGGAGATATTGTCGATTGAAGACAATGTTTTATGGTCACTGAAGAAGGCAAACCATTCATTTAAATCTCGCAATAATCTGAAAATCTCATTCGTTAATCTATTATTATTGATTTAATCCCATTATGTGTAGATCGCTGAAGATCAACGTAAACGTTCCAACCGTTCAAACGAATTGGAATGTTTTTTCTCTCCTTCTCCTCCATTTTCTTTCTCACTCGCACTCGTTAAGTTTTGCGGAGGACGGGCACGTGCCAACGCGACGGAGACGACAATGAGTGGGAGCAAGCGCGATCATATTCCTTTTTCACTCTGAGGGGTAATACCGTCATTAGTATACCTGCCTGTTTTAGCAACAAAAGTGTACTCGCATTTAGTTCATGCGCCACCACGACGAAAAAATCCAGGGGCCCTATTCTCGACGTTAGTGAATAGTCCTTCGCCCACGAATCGACGTTCGTTGACGAACTGCGTATAGTCCTTATCCGTCCCTATATAAAAGATCCGTGAGGTGAAAAGTGTCATGGCGGAGGTCCATGGGCACCGAACGTTCTGATTGGTCGAATGGAATGGCAAGTGTCTTGGCGGTCCGAGAATTATCCAAATGTCATANGAACGTTCTGATTGGTCGAATGGAATGGCAAGTGTCATGGCGGTCCGGGAATTATCCAAATGTCATGTTAGATGGCGCACGCATACTTTTTCAAAGGGAGTCATTAGTTCTCACACAAATTAATAATTATATAAAATGTGTAGCATAATTAAACTATATCATTCCAGTAGAAAATAGTAATAATTTTTATCATTGATATTCAAAAAAATGTTAAAACGCCACAACTGTGATGGTTTACATCAGTGATTGACGGTAGTAATGCTGAAGATAGGAAACTTCATTTTTCCAATCGTTGGGCCAGTGTTTACTAGCGGTGGCGCTGATGGCGAGCTCCATCAGTAATGATGCGATCGCAGCCCCCTCATTGATAGATAGGTGACGCTGCGCATATCTCCGGTACCGTAAGGTATGATACAGGGAGGTATGGTGAAGCTTTGATGTCGCCGACACCGAAACAGGGGACAAGTTCCAACGGAAGCCGCGCGCGGCGCTGTTGCGTCCCTTCCCCTCACGCGGATTAGATCTTCCACCACACGCCGATTTTACTTGCGTCGCGAGTTCAAATCCCCGTCAAATCAATTTTTTTTTTTTTTCATGAGAGAGAAATAGTATATTTCGTAACGAGTGCAAAAAAGTGGTTTTTGGCGAGTGGGAGGTTTATAACACGAGCCGAAGGTGAGTGATATAATTTCACGAGCCAAAAACCACTTTTTTCACGAGTTACGAACAAAATTTTTCATCACAATGTGTCGGAAAGTTACTTCTCTGATACAGCGTGATGAAAATAAAATTTTGTGTTCAATCGAGAGGAACAGGATTAAAAAATGTTGAGATGAAAACTATATGATTCTCAGCAAATAGTTCTATGGGATCGAGCGATAAAGATTGACTGAGAGTCATGTCGACTAGACGATTGAAATACTAATTAGAAGGAAGAATAATTAACATCAGAAGTCCATTTTATTAATTATTCCTCTTCTCTTCAGTGAAGCTTAATAGGGAAGAATTTGGAGGGATGGGATTACGATAATGAGGATCCCAGTTTGAACTATGTTTTTTAATGTTTTCTTCTATGAACAAGTTTTGAAAAAGATACGAGGGTCATAATGGTCACGAGGGGTGAAATAAATGAGGTACAAGGGGTTTCAAGAGCCACAAAAGAAAAAAAAAGTCCCAACTATTCACTTACGCACCTCACACAAATAACAATCGTTCTTTGACACTTGATCACTCGATAGCAAATCACCGCTTTTTTCCAGCCATTGTCGTCGCTTCTCAATTTTTTTCACACTGGGAAGGGAGAAAAAACGATAATTATCCCTAGAAGATGCTTTGCAATTTATAATTGCACACGATTTAATCATTTTACATGAATCAACTCGCACAGACTGTTCAGATCTATTGGAGTACGTTTTGGAGCAGACATAAACAAACAACATTCGCGAGATATTTTCGCGCGAAAAATAAATATTGTTCAACATTGGACAAAAATGCATTTTCATTTTATTTTTAATGCTATTATATTGAGCAGTGATTTCACTCTCAATCTTGGTAATTATTTTCAGTAAAAAAAGAAAGAATTCACCTATTATAAGATAAAAATCACCCCATTAATGAAAGAGTGAGCGGGCCATTGACTATTAAAGAAATAGTACATGAAAAACCAAGAATATATTTGCATTTTTTTATTTTTCTTCGCATTGTCCATGTAATTTCATACGGGGCTAATTATTGTGACTTAAAATATCAATTTCATAACGTTCCCTCCAGCAAAAACAGTGCCAGTGGTGGGAGACTAAAGGAGATGACGGGAAGCGTAAGTCGACCGGAACGCCGCTTCTGGCGCTCCGGCGAACTTGTCCCCTGTTTTCTGGCTTCATCATACCTGCTTGTATCATACCTTACGGTAATGAGTAGAGTTTCTCGCCTCTATAATAGTGAGTTCATCAGTCGTAGAGAAAATAGGATCTTTCTTTCTGCGACTGACCACCGAGGAGAACGAATCAACCGCAATTAATTTGACCGGTGTTTTGTGTTTGTAAAGTGAAACTTTTTATATCCAAAAATGGCACATCGTCTGGAAACCATCGTCTTTTCAACGAATGAGGAAATGGATAATCTCCAATCCTTATATAAAAAAAACATGCATTGGAAACTGTCATGGCGGAGAGCATGTAAAAAGTGTCATGGCGGCGCATGAAGGATGCATTCTCATCATCAGAATGAGCAATGCGGCCGCGACGGCGCTGTTCAGGGAAGCGCGCGTAAATTACAAATCGGATTCTCTATGTGAAATGAAAAATTGTTCGAATGATGATTGATAATTGGATAACTTGAAAGCCAAGAACGGAATGAAACAAGTGGGAAATTACGTTTATCGTCATATAGTATATGCATATTTTCTACACATGGATTTGTTTATAATGAGGGGAATGGGAAATTATTTTTTGGTGATGAATGTTGAAAATTGAAAGGTAGTTGGAATGATTGATAATTTTAATGAATTTGAATGTCAAGAGTGGAATAAAATAGAAGGGAACAATTGCTTCGTCACAACGTAGCCAATATATTTTTGCTCATAAATTAATAATTTGCTTTCGCATGGAATTTCTATAACGATGGATTTTAAATTGATGTCAATGATTTATTGTATTCAATTTATTGACATTGCCTCAACGTTGGCAGCCGACATTGCCCCGAAAATATTGGTTTCAAAATAATGGTTTTGAACAACAGATGATGCAATCAATCTCATGATCGAACTTGGTTAAGATGAGATTAGGAACCATATTTTAAATCATAATTATCGTAGAAAAACGATCGGTCAGACACATACATACATACGGACAGGGTCTAAAAATTGCATATTCGAACTTCTGAGGCCAAAAGTAGTTATCCTGATGCAAAAATTGGCATTTTCGGATTCGACAAATAGTCCAATTCGGAAGCAACAATAATGAAATGTAAAAATGGAATGATTTTATTGCTTTCATTCGGAAGTAAAATAAATCTCATGTTTTTCTAAATGATTCAGACCAAATTCGAGACTTATGTAAATAATTTGATTTCAATTTTTTTATTAAATTTTCTTTTAGAAGGTTTCTGTAATGAAATCAATACTTAAACCACAAAAGCAAAGAATATTGAATATTCTCCATGTAATAAAAAAGTTGGAATACTTTTTATTCAAAGATTTTAAATCATCTAATTTATTAATTAAATTGGCTAGGAAAAGCTCGAAAATAAAGCATGGCGTAATGGAATAAATAATTAGCGGAGTTGGAACAAAATTCCATAAATACTTGCTTTTACCAACATTCTCTTCTTGGGAATTAATAATAGAATGCCTCAAATTTCCGAAAAATATAATTTTTTCACATAAAATTGATTTTTGGTGTGATTTTTTAAGCAGAAAAATTCGTTACAATTCAGGAAAAATTATTCTTTGAATGAAAAATTGATTATGATTGAATCATTTATAAAAACACAGTCATGGTCTCCGAAAATCGCAATTTTTTCAATCATTTCATTAGTCTACTTCGAAAAGTCGACTTTCCATTTTTTAAATATATTTTTTAAATATTCGCTCATAATTATGAGTACATGGCAGTTATACTGTTGAAAAAAAAGATTAAAATTTTAAGGACAGTTAATAGTAAATTTTAAGAGTTAGAGAGGTACAAGTCTTGAAATGTAAAAGTTCACTGGAAATTAACTGCGATTCAACATTTTTTAACAGCATGGAGATAAAAACTCTCAAGTTCCTTAAATTCTCATTCAATATATGAATATTCTGTACCTAAAATTACTGGATAGTTTCGGATGCTAAAGCAATTATAATTGTCCAAATCGAAAATAGAAGTATTCAACTTTACTAATGTTGCGTTTAGTAAGGTTTTCTCCAAAGTTGATTAGAATCAGTAGCTAGAATTATGAGATTATAGAATTTGAATGCGACACAATGAAAACCATGATCAATTTTTTCGCTTCAAAAAATGATAATAATCATATCCAAATTAAAAAAGTGCAGAGAACAAGAATGATGATATTTGTGTCATATCCTCTGAATCATTAACATCAATGTCAGATTCACGAAAAAGGTTGGAGCAAAAGTCACACGGTCATTTCAAGTTTTTATTTGCAATTTGGCGCTGGAAACATGAAATGACGATATTCAGAGGGAGCCAGTTTTTTCCGGATGTAAGATGATTCGGCAGTTTTCCGGAGAATTTAAAACAATTATGAGGTTTTCTGAAAAAATTCGAGAAAACTGAATTCTTCGAAAATTGGAAGAAATTTTGGGTATCTCTCAAATATTAAAGAATTTTTGAATAAACAATGAGAGAACAATTGGTAGGAAAAGGTGGAATTTTCCAAATAAAACTGATGTGAAGGAGTCCCGAGCTTCCAACAACTGCACTCTGATTGATGGAAATGAGAAGGAATTTCTCAACAATTTGACAAACATTTTTTTGTTAATTCACAAGAATTTCGGAATTTTATGGAGAATTTGAAAAAATTTCAGATGATTAATGATTCAAGTTTCAAGTAATATATCACCTAATAAAATTGTGACAAAGATCATGAATGAGAAGATACTTCGAATTAGTCGAAGAGTATCAGAATCGGTCTTATGATTTTTGCCAGAAAAATAATTGAATGCTATTGTCAAGTTGTGAAAGGGAATAAAGGGGGCGGCGAAGATTAAAAAATTCTGAGTTGAGAGAAATTTACTAATTATTGTTTTGTACTCTGAATCGAATTTTGATTATAATTATAGTTAGAACGTCATTCATAGAGCACAGAAATTCAAAATTAGTGAATCCCTTATTGAAATATTGACATTAAACAGGCAATCAAACGACAAACATTATTTTCATTAACCTTAACACTCAGTATAATAAGACGATAATGAATCATTAATTGTTGAAAGAGACACAAGGAAAAATAAAAAAAGTCATAATGAAAGGGCATCGGCGCTAGCGAATATGAAAAAGGAGCCTTTTAGCCTGCCTGAAATAATAATGCAAAGCCGAAACTGTTAAGACCGATAGGAATATGAAAATTTTTGAGTAGATCCTATTTCTAAGGCGTGCTTATTAAGAGAAGATTTTTAGAAATAAAAGAGGATGTGTTTCAAATTCTTTCTAAAATCCACCTTTAATAGGATGAATAGGGGATGAATTATAAGAACATTAAGGAAGTTTACAGGTTCCCTAAAAAATCAGAGAATTGTCGGCTTTTTCTGAATGTAAAATGATTCGGAAGTTTTCCAGAGAATTTACAACAATTATGAGATTTTCTGAAAAAACCCGAAAAAATCCACGAGTCGTTCAAAAATTGGAGAAAATTTTCGGTATCTCTCAAATATTAGAGAATTTTTGATTAAACCATGGGAGAACAATTGATAGGAAAAGGTGGAATTTTCCAAATGAAATTGATATGAAGTAGTCACGTGACACCAACTACTGCACTCTGATTGATTCAAATGGGAAAGAAAAACATAATTTGAAAAATCGGAGAATATAATTTCACAAAAATTTCCAAGTTTTTCAAGCAAAATTCACAAGAATTTCGGGACTTCATGGAGGATTTGACAAAAATTCAGATGATCCATCAAAGTTTCAAGTTCATGGCATCGTCGAATAAAATTGTGAAAAAGATCATGAATGACGAGAAAATACTCCGAATTAGCGAAGGAGCATCAGAATCTGTCATATAATTTTTCGAGCAAAAATAATTAAATGCTTTGGTAAAGGTGTAAAGGAGAACAAAAGGGGTGGCGAACACAAAACAATTCTGGATTGTGTGAACTTCAATAATTATTGCTTCGCACTCTGAATAGAATTTTTATTATAATCATAGTTAGAACTTCATTCAGTGAGCACAAAAATTAAGAATCATTGAATCACTCATTGAAATATTGAAATTAAACAGGTGATGACCCGATAAGCATTGTGTCCATTAATCTTAATACTCAGTTTAATAAGACTATGATGAATCATTATTTTTGAGCAAACTTCCAAAAATATTGGATAAACGGCCAGAAAATTGGATTATTATGGAATTATTTTTATAAAGGAAGGTCGTGGTCTCCGGAAAATGCGATTTTTTCACTCATCCAATTCATTAGTCTACTCTGAAAAGTCGACTTTCTATTATTTCTCAAGATTTTCGAAATGTTTCCTGATAATTATGAGTAAATCGAAATGATACTATTGAAATGAAAAAGTTAAGCTTTATGGGCAGTTCAGTAGTAGTTCTTAGGAGACATTTGATTCAGTTTGAGAGGGAAAAGAAATCTGATGGAATTCATTATTTTCTCAACGGCATGAAAATGAAAACTCTGAAGTGACTTAGTTTTTTTTAACAAAAAGGGAACCTAATTACTCTGTCTTTTCGTTTGATACACCAATTATCATAATTTTCCATATTATTTGAGTCAAAGGCAAATAGAATGATTCAAACTTCTTAATATTGCGTTTGCCACGAATTTCTGACTTTTCTCAGGTTGAACTACAGGAGGATATGAATGTAACACAGTGGAAATGATGATTAATTCACTTTAAATGAATAGTAATAATAATTACTATAAATGAAGAGATTCTATTCTGAATAAAAATCTGTGACTCAATATTTCATAACAGCAGAAATCAAGATATTATGTAATATTATCAGTAGTAATACCACGAGACCTCCAAAATAATCGAATATTTCCCGATTGTTTTGTTGCGTAGCAACGAGTAGATCTTTTGCAGATTAAAATTCTCGTGCAAAACTTATCCCGATCGTTGATACCCAGGAAAACATGAGGGAAATGTTCGATTAATTTTGGAGGTCGAGTGGCTGGTATTCAGTGGATTATTTTTGGTAATCGGATCTGGTCGTTTTGACTTCCTTCATGACTTTTTTCACTCCAGGATAATATTTGACAGTTATTTGGTTAGAGAAACAATTGCAGAGCTAGAGGTAAATTATCAAAAGCTACAGGGAAATTATCAAAAGCTAGAGCTACTTCATGTTATTGGATACTGAGCTCTGATTGGCCCAGGGGAGGCCAGATCCGATTACCAAAAATAATCTGAATTATTAACATGAATTCCAGATTCACAAAAAGGATGGAGCATAGTTCAAACTTTCATTTTCAGTTGCAATTTTCAATTTGGTGCTGAAAAGATGAAGTGGCAATATTTGAAGCACGGAATCATATTGATGATTTGAACAACAGATGATTTAAATCACCGAGAGAACTGATTAAAATATTTATAACAGTGTTAGCATGCCCTCCTACCGGAGTATCACCGAAAATTGAAATCCAGCCATTAACTTTCTGAATTATGTTTGAGAAGTAATCGGATTATAATTACGATCAAAATGTTATTCACTGAGCATAGGAAAATCTATTATTTCATATTAGAATACTGAAAACAATTACTTTATTTTAAGTACATGCGCAAGTTATTCATTGTAATAGAAAAATTTCACCGCTAACAAGAAATTGAAAGAGGACGTATTGAATCTGATACGAAATAGGTGTAATCAAAGGGTCACCAACATCACAGCCGCGATAGCGCGTTAAATATGAAAAGGGAGCCCTTTATCTCACCTGAGATGATAATGGAGAGCCGAAACTATTAAAACTAGGGATATGAAAATTTTAGCCTTGGTCCTAATCCTGTTATGAGCACTCATTAAAAGCTATTTTTTGAGAGAAAATTTCTGGTATTTCTCTTATATTGAAGAATTTTTGAGTGAAAGATGGGATAATAATTGGTGGGAAAAGATGAAATATTTCACATAAAGCACGGATTACTTGACCCAAGAAACAATTCACAACAATTTCAGAATTCTATGGAAAATTTGAAAAATTTTCAGATGATCCATCAGGTTTAAGTTTATAGCATGGTCAAAAAAAATTGTGAACAAGAATTTTTTCAGCCAAATAATTGAGTGGTTCATCTAGATAGTGAAAATAAAAGAGGGAGGCGAAGACTACACAATTCGGGGTAGTGAGCAATTTGATAAGTATTGTTCTGCATTCTGAATATAATTTCAATTATAATTATAATCAGAACCTCATTTAGTGAGCCCGGAAATTCAGAATTAGTCAATCACTCATTGAAATATTCAACTGGCACCGAGCTGGATTAAGCTTTCATTAATTTCAACGCTTTGTATGATGAACCGATAATTCATTAATTTTTGAAATTAACAAAAATCAAAGATGATAAGAAACGGCACAATGAAAGGTCATCAACGTCGCGGCCGCGGCGGCGCTAGTAGTTGTATAGAAGATTCGTTGACGATTACCGATTCGTGCACGAAGAAGAATTCACCAATGTCGAGAATAGGGCCCCAGTTGAAACGTTTGCATTGCCGTGAGAGATCTCCCTTATAATCTCTGGGAAAGGGAACATGAACAAACCGGCCCTCAGTAAGTCGTGCAGGAAAAACGCTATTAAATTTTGAGGAACCTCCATTGGTTATTCCAGTTTCAAGTTTTGCATATTGTGTATCGATGAAGTACGGTTGGACTTGCGCCTTTTTCATGAATACCTGCCGTATGGCAATAAAAATATTCTTTTTCTTTATTTTCATACTAACCATTTTTTCCAGAATGAAGACATGCAACAACAAATAATTAAAGAGACCTTTCAATTAGTCTCAAAGAGAGATGATAATGTCTGCAATTTCCTGGAAGGTGGAACCTTGATAGGTGGTTCAGACTATAAACTCATCTACAGGCATTATGCAACTCTCTACTTCGTCTTTTGCGTTGATTCATCAGAGTCGGAACTCGGGATATTGGATTTAATTCAAGTGTTCGTAGAGACTCTTGATAAATGTTTTGAGAATGTTTGTGAATTGGATTTGATTTTTCATGTTGACAAAGTTCACTACATTCTTAATGAGCTGGTGATGGGTGGGATGGTGCTTGAAACGAATATGACTGAGATCTTGACGAGGATTGAGGACCAGAATAGATTAGAGAAGCAAGAGGTGAGTTCACCAATATCATAGATAATTTTTTTCTATTAAATGCAATGAAAGATTAATAATTATTTATTGTATGCTATGACTCTTGTCAATTTCTGTGAAAGGAAACGTCAAGTTCTAAATTTATGCTCTTGTACCATTGATTGCACGTTTAGAAAATCAGACATCACTCCAACTTTTGCAACTATTGCTTCACACAAATCAATTCATTCCCGTAACTCAATTTGGCTCATGAGCTTATTAACAAATAACTATAGGGGAAGGTGGGGCAATATGGATATCTGGGGTAAAATAGACACTCAAATTTTTTTTTCAAAAATCAATTTTCTTTTGTAATTGTTTCACTGGGCAATATGGACATGATAAATTCATGTAGGATGGATTAAAATGGATGTTTAAAAAATTGTCAATAATCGAATTTTTGAAAATTGCTTCTTAGCACAGTCCACAACCGAAAAATTATTCAAGAGTGAGGTAAAATGGACAACCGAAAAAGTTAATTCTATTCAACTTTTAATCAAGCAAATTTTCAACAGAGATTTTCCAACAGAATCGTGTTGGTATCTTTTTATAGATAGAAATTGGAGTTGGATAAAATATTAACAAATGAACTTCAACTTAATTAAATTTTGCATTGAAGTTTGAAATATAGAGCAGCTTTGAATTTCTTGTTTTACTATTGAAATACCTTTGAAATTATTCTTTTTTCAATGAACAATTGAACGCTTCACACAACTGACCTTCTGTCCATTTGCGAAATTTGTAAATGGCTACTTTTCTACACACAAAAGGAAATTACCATAAAACAATGGGGGGAGGGAAGAAGAAATGAGCAAAGAAAAGTTTGATTTACCACTTCCCAAGACAAAAGTAAAAAATGTTTTTTTTTTCAATTTGAAAATTGTAGTCATGACTAGTGTTTCAGAAATTGAATAATAATGTTGAAGCATAAAAAATTGAGGAAGAAATCGAAGTATCCATTTTACCCCGTTTTTGCTTTCTATTCTATTCCTTTGACTAGCTGTATCCCCGTCCTCAGATAGGGGCAAGTGCCATGCATTCTCTCTTGAAATATTGTGACATCTGTCCAATGCTTCGAGAAACTCGAAATCACGACAACTTTCAGTTTATAAAATTCAAAAGGAGATGGTAGAGAACCCTCATAGAGGGAAGCACTAATTTAATTCCACCAGCAGTTTGACTCAAAAACATTCTAAAATTTGTTTTGTCTTGATGTGAATGTCCAAAATACTGAATCCCTTAATCCCAAGGTCACTGTTTGTTTTGAAAATCTTTATTATACTGTCCGAGCCTTCGAATGCGAATTCACCTTCGAGGAGATTCGATTCCAAAGGCTAAAATAAAATATCATCCAAACACTATCAATTCACTGAGTTGAATTTACTGGATGAAAAACTAAATTCACCGTCAGGTTTAGTTCTTCGGTCCTATAATTAATTTTCAGATGTGATAAATTTCTGATTTTAAAATTCTTCGAGACACTTAACCACTGATGGAACAATCTACCACTTAAACTGTCCTTATTGAATTTCCGGGGAGTCCGTCGACAATTATTTAAAAATTGATGTAAATTATCGGAATCGCCAATCTTTACTTTTGGAAGAAAGAAATGAAGATATAGGAAAAGGAGAAAAGAAGAGAAAAGAAATAAAAAAAGGGGATCGAAAGGAACCAAAAGTAAAGGGACAAGGTGAATATATTCTACGAGGCGGACGAACATCCGTCTCGTATGGCGGCTCCCGGCGAACTCCCCGTTTTTGCTTTACCTTACAACTCCTATGATGCAGTCTTATGATAAAAGTGGATTGACTAAAGGAGAGGCTCAGTTCTGCAGGGGCAGGTGACCCCAAGCTGAAATAGTAAGTGCCCCATGGGAGGCATGGCGTCACGATCGATTTAGGCCTCTGGGCGAGCTGGATGTGCCGGTATAAGTAGCTCGTCAGTAGCAGTCCCACTGTTACAGGGACAAGTTGAAGGGAGGATTTTTGTTCTCCTTGTGCTTAATGTTTTTTTAAATGTTTGTCAGCGATTATAAATAATAAATAAGGTCGAAATACATAATTTAAAATGGAATAATCATAAAAAACGTTTATTAAGAATGTTTTTCCGTATGTAAATACAAGGGTTGAGATAGGGGATATAAAATATACCGCGTTTTTTTTCATGTATAATATGTTTAATTAATCAACTATGAAAGAATAAGAAATTTTTAGCGTTAAAAAAAAAGGGAGCAAACAAAAAGAAAACTGACACTAATATATATATTTTCATGGACGAATTAAATTTATCAGGATTTCTTATATGCATGTTTTTTTATTCCTTTTTTCCATCTCTGAAGTTATTAATTACATTAGAAGAAAATTGAGAAATGAAAGTTTAATTAAAAATAATTAAAATTACTTGAGCAATAGGACAAACATATTCAATAAGGCTCCATTGGCTATAATGAATAGGTAACAGAAAAGGTGATATAAGAATAATATAATGCGCCAGCGTGCAGCTAACGTCTCAGACCCTCATGCTGAAGTTGTCGATTCGATTCTCCAACAATCTAATTTTTTTTTTTCGGAATATTTTCTGAAAACAATAACATTATTTAAGAAGAAGAAAAGAGCGAAACGATAACACTGTGCAACAAAAAATGAGCTTTTCCGATGCCGTACATGTAAGAAGGACGAAATTAAAGATTTTTTCACTCTGAATCCAACGGCGCTTGCCAAACTCCTCTATCACGTCAAGTTTCTGAGAAATAAAAAAAATAAAGTCACAAATTGGCCCAAAAGAGCATTCGTAGAAGAAAAAATGAAAAATGAAAAGAAAGTGAATTTGCTTCGAGAAAAATTATACAAAAAGGAAAAACATTGATCTTTTAGACGGGAGGGAGTTTCCTCTCATTATGCAAGTAATTTCATGAAAAAAAAATCCCAAAATATGATCATATTTATCATATTTTGAGAGGAATGACGATTGACCTGAAGTTATTCGGAGAATCTCCTAATCCATCTCAATTCAATGTTGTTACTTTGCATGACATCATCATCCACTTAGAACATGACTCTTGATTTCAAGAAATTGTGTGGAGCAAATACAGAATAACATCAGAAGAATTAATAACATGGGCACACATGATACTATCGGGATGTTCTTATAAAATGCATCGCCCTTCGTTAGCATTTACTCTTTCCAGCCTGCAAAATTCAAACTCGATAAAAATTCAGAGAATTTCTCGTCTTTTGCTCAAAAAGTTCATGAATGTTGGAATTTTATCATTTTTCCCCACATCAATAGGATTCAATGCCGATTTACTAAACATTACCACTGCACCATCCATAAATTTTAATTTTTCTTCTACACGTATGAAAAATTTTTATAGCAAAACCTAGCGATTTCGCTTAACAATTCTATTGGATTTCTATTGAACTTTCTATTAGGTTTGGCCGATTCTATTGAAGTCTTCAGTAGAAAATATTCTATAAAACTTATTCTATAGAAAAATTTTCTACAGGATCTCCTCGGCTCAAGTTTTTTAAGTTTTCTTGTTTGATTTTCTTGAAAAGAAGAAAAGAAAAATAGAATTTAAAAAACTTAGGAAACTCGAGCTGAGGAAACTCTATAGTAAATATCTCAATAGAATAGGTTGTATAGAAAAATCGAATTGTATCGAATTTTTCTACAGAATAATTTCTATTAAATATTTCAATGACATCAGCCAAAACTCATTAAAAAATCGATAGAAATTTAATAGAATTGTCTAGTGAAATCTCTACGTTTTTGCTCTGAAATTTTTTGGTGCGTGGATTTCTCTTTTATTCGGAGATATTTCTCCAAAACTGACCCCCGGACGAAATTGCCGCAAACCGATTGACCTCTGGGAAGATCATGAACAAAAGAATATCCAGGATGAAGTTGTTAATACCAGAAAATTTGTCAATAATCTCGGTCGGTTTCTCTAATGTAAAATCATGTAGAGAAAATGTAAGAATTCAGTCGATTCTTTTCCTAGGTATGTGCAAAATTCACGCCAGCGTTGCAACAGAAGAATTGCATAACGAGGTTGAAGGAAGCCTATGAAAAGGTTTTCAATAGAAAAATTACAAATCTTGACAAACCATGGACTCCAAGCAAATGCTGCAGCAATTGCCGAACGAAGTTGCAACTTTCAGTTCAAACAAAAAAACTGAGCTTACATTTAATGCCCCAGCTACGTGGCGTGAACAGAGCGAGCATCTTACAGATTGTTATTTCTGTTTGACGGATGTGCACGGATACTCCAGGAACAATAAATGCCACATCAAGTATCCAGATGTCCGTTCTGTCGATTCTCCTTCCTCTTGTTCACTGTTTATCCCATTTGGAAATGACGATGTGCCTCCAGTGCCAACTGGAGAAGCAGACGTTTCTGGTGAGAGGTTTGGGTTTGACAAAAGAAAAATCAGAATTCCTTGGATCACGAATGAAAGAACACAATTGCTTGCTTCCTGAGGTACGAACGATTTATTTTCGCCGTCGAAACGAGAAATTCAACCAATTTTTCCGTGATGAATAAAGTCTAGCATACTGTCATGACATAAATGGCTTGATGAAGAGCCTAGGAGTCGAACATGACCCAGAGCATTGGCGACTCTTCATTGATGCTCCTTCCAGTAGCTTGAAAGCCATACTCCTTCACAATGAGAATATCTACCCCTCAGTGCCCATTCGTAACTCCAGATCTTTGAAAGAAACTCACAACAACATCAAATTTCTATTGGACAAGATTGAATACAAACAACACAAATGGCGAATCTGTGCAGATCTTAAAATGGTTGCTCTCATCTTGGGGATGCAACTTGGTTACACCAAGTACTGCTGCTTTCTGTGTCAGTGGGATAGTCGTGACAAGAAGAATCACTATTCCACGGTGAACTGGGCTTCACGTTAAAGCTTCACCCCAGGTCAGCGGAATATCCTTCGAATTCCACTTGCTGAACGAGAGAAAATTT